CGGGGGGTGCTGGCCATGGGGCAGGCTAGGGGCCACTTTTCCCCGCGCTCAGCACCAGCTTCTTCTCTGCTGGTGAGCAGAGGGTCAGGGCTGTGCGCTGCCCCCCACCTGTACCACGGGGCTGGGGAGTGAGCAGGTGTGCAGGTGCAGGAGCCAGCAGGAGCATGGGGCCCACACCGGTGTCCTGGGGCCAGTGCTGGTGGGGCCTAGAGCAGGGTGGCAGGAGTGCGAGGTCCCGGCCGGCAGGGGCTCTATGGAACTGGGCCAGCTCCCCACTCTTCCTGCTGGTGCAGCCCAGCCCAGCTCCACAAACCCCTGCCAGCTTGTGCACCGCTTTGAGCCCCACTGGTGCTGGTCCTGGGACATTGGTCCCAAGACATTGGGACATTGGTCCCAAGATGGTGAACAGGGGGCAGGGCATCTGTCAAGGGGAGGGACTACTCAAGTGGCCCTTAACAGCTTGCCAAAACTGGGTAAGTGGCCCTCCGCCCGAAATAATTGTCTGCCCCGATCTACATTATAGGATCCAGTCCTCTGCAATCTCAGGTGACAATGTTATAGATCTTAAGTTCACAAGGGTCCAGAAGAACATCTGTTCCAGCCCCTCACCCTTGCACTCCAAGCCACAAAGCATTCTCCAACATCTAATACCAATCTTAGAGTCTTTAGTACAAAAAAAAGCCAAAAATTTGCAGTGGGACACAGAAGGAGATCAAAAGAGACCTTTAACCTTTTTTGCTGGCTTAGGTTTTCTAAATATCTTATCATGCTTGTTGCTTTCCTCTTAATTCCTTCCAGTTTGACCACTTCTTTTTGGGAATATTGATTATAACAGTGAACACCATTGATAATAGGAGTTGATATTGTACTGACTAGTCTATAGTTTCCTGCATCTTGCTCGTTCCCTTCTTTAAGACAGCCTGTGGACACAGACAGAAATTACGTTTGTCATGTGATCAGCCCTTTGAAAATGCTCTACAGCCATGCCCTAACAGAAGAGCACACCTGCGGAGCACTCGGATCATGTGACAAATTAACCCTCGTTATATGAGGGTTCAAATGAAGGCTCTCCAAAGTGGAGCATCTTCATTAACTTGTGTCTGCTCCAGTGGTTGGGCTGCTACAGCCCAGTGCCATTCCCAGTATTGTCTCAGGATGGGAGAAAGGGAGAAGGGAGGGGAGGGGAGCTTGGATTGGTGTTTGCCCAGCCTGTGCTGGAGTGGAGACAGGTGGATTGGAGCCCTCCACCTTGGAAGGCTCCAGTCCACCCACCCCCACTCCATCACAGGCTGGGCAAACACCAATTCCAGCTCCCTCTCCTCTTTTCTCTTGAGACAGCACTGGAGCTGGGGGGAAGGGGGCAGGAGCTAGGGGTAAAGGTTGCAGATATGCAACTTCTCTTGCTGGATCAGCTCCAAATTGGAGCTCAATTGCCCACCTTCCCAACACAACAGCTAATGACTGTTGAATTGGGAGGATTGGTCTACTTCATGGTGCTTTCTGTGAAGTGCCATGAGTTAGACCGGGAAGATGCACTTCTGTCTGTGCCTTCCATGTTTGTCCTTCTCCATTTCTCTGGGACCTCCTCTGTCCTCCATGAATTTCTGAAGATAATTACCAATAGTTCAAAGATTATGTTACCTACTTCCTTCAGCACTGTACAGTGAATTTCCTAGGCCCTGCTGACTTGAATACAACTATTTTATCTAAATATGTTGTACCTGATCTTTCCTCATTTAGGTCTGAACTTTACTTCTATGTAAAGACTGAAGGCAGTGATTACTTCAGTTTTTTTCTGCCTCACCAGTTATTTCCTCTGCCTTTCTGTTTTAACAACAGACCTATAGCTTCCTTTGTCTATTCTTCTGATATATTTTATGGAAACTTTGTGTCCCTTGATAACTGAAATTCACTTGGCATCTTAACCTTCCTGATGTTATCCCTACATGCTTGTGCAGTTCCCTTATATTCGTACTCAGTCGTGCACCCTTGTTTCTTATAATGAATGGCCTGATGAAAGCAGATTCAGAAATCTGTCTTCCTGTACAAGACTAGTGGGACATTCCACAAAGATGAAATGTAGCAAATGAAAAGGAAATGCTGAATTAGCATATGGAATCTTTTGCTGCAGAAAACCACGGAGGCCAAGAATTTAGAAGGCTTACAAAAGGTCTAGCTATAGCCATGGATAAGAATGGCCAAAATTAGTATTTTAAGAGTTAATGCAACCAGGACTTTTAGTTCAGGCCATAAGCCAGCTTCTACCTATGAGAGTAGAAAGGAGAAGAAGTCTATTCCCTGGAGACAGCTTATCCCAAAACTACCTACCATAGAATTGCTGTTCCTTTCTCTGTTGCAGCTCATTACCCTCAGAAAAAGAGAATTAGATTAGACTATCTGCTTCTCTGTTCTAGCATAACGATCCTCAGTTCCTCAACCTACAGCATTTAAACAGATTGAAAATTAAGCAGATGAGGTTTGTCCAGCCCACAAAGAGAGTTTTGTGACTTGAGTCATGTACAGTGAAGATATTCTGGGTCCTGTTTGCTGGAAGGGCATTTTGCACAGTGGCTTTTGGTGTCCCATTCTCTGTGTCTCTGTGTAGTTACCTGATTTCTTCAATTGGCTGTCTGCAACACATCCTTCTCCATCGGGCCCATTTATGCTTCAGGAATTCTATCTGTTCTTTTTCCTGATAAAAGAACTCAATTAGATGCAGAAAATAAAATGTTACCTGCCAGCCTCTTCCCCCTTCCCCTCTGCAAATCCTGGGTCTCCCATGCTGCTGCTAGAGGCTATTCGGTGTTGGTATGTTTTCTTCCAGACATCTCTCCATCCAGCCAAAGGATCCTTCCTCTACTATTCCTACATCTCCCTTATCATTTTAGCCCAAAGACTTGCTTCCTATCCTGTATCTACATATGTACGTTTCCCCTCCCATCCCTTTCTCCATTGATGTACCCTCACATTCTTCACCTCATGCAGTGGAAATGCAGTCTCAAATACTTTCTCTTTGATCAAGTCTCTTAGCTTCTCTAAAGCAAGACAGGGAAAAGAAAGTTAGCAAGGACAGGATAACATGATTCCTTCCCAGTAGTCAGGATGACCCCTAGGCCAAAGACCCACCCCCCATTTAAAGAAAGGCAGTTTCCTGCAGAACAGAACGGGAGCCCTAAGACAATCTGATCAGGTGTTGGAAAGGAATCTTTAGTAATCAGTCTCTCCCTAATTATGAAGTGCTGCTTGATTGGTGGAGACAAGCAGCATGGAGGAGGTTAGTTTATAGAGTGATAGTGATGGCACCCTCACCAGAGTCTGGCTGGAACCATTAGTCCATCTCTTTAGGTGGTTGTGTAGGGTACATCACTTTGGTGCACACATGACTCTGTGTGCACATACAAGTGAGCTTGTGTTTGTATGTGCATGTGTGTGTGGATATCCATGAATGCTGGTGTGAACAGCATTTGTGATACTGTGTAGATATTGGTGGCAGGGCATATGGGAAAGCTAGTGGTGAGCTGGAAGCAAATCGTGTATCCTTACCCTGAGAATTAATCTCTGTGTTCTGCAGGATAAAGTTGACGATGCGTATTCTGAAACACAAAATAAATGAAAATAAAAGAGAAATAAATGCTGGGCAGCTAACATGGGCCAAAACAATTGGCTTTGGGTTACCAGGAAGGTGGGAGTCAAGGGGGAAGAACTACACTAGGATCCAGGTTAGGTAGAGTGGATATAGTCTGCGTTCATCAGTGCGGAATGGGTTGGGAATAAACTAGAGAGAAGATGTGCAAAGACAACCCAGCATCAACCCACAGTTGTGGGTGTACTGAAACAATCTCCCAAGGCTTCTTTCCTTCACGTGAATAATAGCACATGATACATAGAATCTATATAATGCTTTAGGTTTTCTCTCCTTGCAATCTGTAACTATCCCAACGTCCTGACCTCCCCATGAGGTCAGCAAATATTATCTTTGCATCTTAGATAAAGAGGTGGAGTGGGTTTTCTACTGGGTCTGTAAAGCTCAGTAAAATCATTCTTCATCTGAACAGCACTTGCAGCTTTGACTTTGTAAACAGGCCTTTCTTGCACTGAAACATATGAGCCATCCAAGGCATTGGTGTGCAGTAGCAAACTCCAGCCTAACAGCAGGACTGAGATCAAGGTAATGCTCACCTGGTGGTGATGAGCACATCCTCCTGTGTACTGGAATTCTGTGACCCTCTGTCTGGGTTTCTCAGCAGCCACTGGTATTTTCGGAAGATTCTACTCGGAGCCCGGACACCATAAAATAACTTCTTGTCTTGAATTTTCTGAGTGCAGAAACAGGGAAGGAGGTTAGAAAGTGGCAGATAGAGGAAGTGCTGAGAAATATTGACCCTGGTTGAAATGAGATGGGCAAAGAGCTGTGACATAGACAGGAGGTAGAGGGTTCTACAGGATATTGAGATGCTGAGCAAACTCTTGTGAAACCAGAATAGCAACATCAAGAGAATGGAGCGGAAAGTCCCATCCTCATCTTTTCCACAGTTAGCTTCTCTCCTTGTCACTCCACTTCTGCTCTGTTTCTCACCTTCTACTATACCACCCTTCTCTACGGTAGGAAGTCTTTCATTCTCATCTAACAAAGGGTTCACTCTCTGCACTGTCAAGGCCCTGTCTTTAGAACCCTCTTCTTCCAGGACATCCTTCTGCCTCCACTGCTCACCTATAATACCTTGAGTCATCCCTCTCATGAACTAAGGCTCTGAGTCTCTTCTCTCCTGTGCCCTAAGCCCTTAGAGATAAGGTCTTATTTTGTGTCAGTGAAGCACCATGTTCTACACAGTGGGTGCATCTACACGAGAAGTTTATGGGAAGCTGCCTAATTAGCTCCGCAGTAAAGTCTCTGCATCTACACATGCAGCTCTATTAGGCTACAGTAAACTAATAAATGCCACCAACAGTTAGTACTTGTAAATACAAGTACTATCCTGTGGTGGTATTAGTTACTGTGCAACAACTCAGATGTAGACACTGATGGGGCTGGCTGGGGTACAAGGGTACTTCAGTGTGTGAGTTGCCTGCTGACTAGCCCTGGACTGAAGCACCCTCATGCCCCAGCCAGCCTTTTCACACCACATTTACCTGGGTTGGAGCAGCCCCAGGCTGGCAGACTGACCCCCAGGACCTCCTGCCAACCATGGCTGTTTCAATCCAACTCAATGGGCTGTGGTCCTGGGCACACTTGTAAACATAGCACCTAGAAGCAATAAACTCTGGTGTGATATGCACCAGAGTTTATTGTGTTGTATGAATTGTATGCATAGATGAGCCCAGTGTTGTCTAATCCCTCTCCTATTGAAACCAACAGCAACCATTTTGTTGACTTTTATGGTCTGGGGTGGGTCTTAAATGATGATTAACATTTTAAGAGGAAAGGAGGGAGATTTGTTATCTTGATGTTCTTCTGGGAGTCAGCCAGAGAAAGGACTTTGTAGTTCCAGATGGGCACTATAGAGAGCCAATGAGAACAAAGATAGAAAGGGAAGTACTGTGCTCGTTCCATCCTCTTTGATCTGCACAAAAGCCAGCAACAGCAGGAAGAAAGTGATAAAGGACAAGCAACATTCTTTACATCTGAGAACTGAGTTTCCATATGACTTCAGCCACTGCTGCAACCAGAGTGGGCCTGAACCAGTCATCCTGACATAGTAGTAAGGTTTGTATACTAAAGAGAATGCAAAAGAATTCTGGAATTATGGAAAACCATTCTAGCAAGTCAATCTCCATGCTTTCTCAGTGGGACAAATAACTTAGGGAACTGTGGGTGCTTTTACAAGCTCAATTAATGTGCCTAAATTTTTTGCGCAGAAAATTTAGGCACATTACACTGGGCCCCCACACGCATCTGAACATGCACCTGTCAGGAGCAAATTTGCTCCTGATGGGAACAGTTCTGTTTAGGGCTGCTCCTGCCTCCTCTGCACCCCTGAAGCAGCCAGAGGGAACTCCAGGCTCCCCTGGGTGCCAACCCCGGGCTAGCAGGGGGCATAGGGGCTGGGCCCAGTCTCTGCAGGGTGTGGGGAAGAGAGCTGTCCCAGCTCTGCAGGACACTGTCTCCCAGCCATGTGGAGATTGGGACCCAGCCCGAGATCCACTTACCTAGGAGGCAGCATTCTACTGACCTAGGACAGGTGGAGATCGGGATGGGTCCCAATCTCCACATGGGTCCCATGGCCATGTGCAGATCAGGACTGGTCCCAGCCATGTGAAAATCAGGATGGGTCCCAATCTCCATGTGGCTGGGAGGTAATGTCCCACTGAGCTGAGACTGCTCTCCCCACCCCCTGTGGCCTGCTGCTGCCTAGGCTGACTGGGAGCTATTTGCTCCCCATCAGCATCTGCACGTGAGCTTTGGCACACTAGTTCAATGCACCACTTTCTAGTACCTGTATCTACAGGTACTAGAAAATGGTACACTAGACTAACCCACTGCACAATAATTGCTGTGCATGTGTAAATGCTGATGCTTTACTATGCATTAAGTTAATCTAATGTGTAGCAAAGTATCTCATGTTGACATACCCTGTGTAATGTCACATCTACAGGGAGGCCCCTGAGGAGAAGGTCCATGGTATTCCTTAGAAACCTGTGTGCTGTGGAGTCATAGGACTACCTGACTATTGGGTAGATCCTCAGCTGGTAAAAGTCACTGAAACTGTAAACTACAGTGGAGCTACAGAAGCTTGCTTCAGCTCAGGACTTGGCCCTGCACCTGTGTGACTATAAACCTGGTGGGTGGCCAGGCTTCTGGGAAAAGTGGTAACACCAATGTTGTACAACGTATGCCTGGAAGCAATTTTAGGAGAAGCCTAACACCTGCAACTGCTGCTCTGAATGGGAGGAACATGTTTGGCAAAACATCCAGAATCTTTGGACTTTGGTGTCAAGCAACCTACAGGCTTTTCCTTGCTTTCTTCTGTTTCTTAAAAAAACAGATAGGGGAGGCAAGTTAAAAAACAAGCTAAGGAGGACTATGTGAAGGGAGTTCCAGAAGCAAAGAGGACTTCTTGTCTGAGCCGAAAGGGGAGTCCTTCTCTACAGTTAAAGGGTCAACCTATGTCTCAGGCACAGGACACCTGGATCTTGGATTTAGTCTTTGGGCATCATCCCCATTTTTATTGGCTTTTATGTAGGAATTTCCCAAGCTCTGCCAGACACCTACAGATGCCTCCTGTGTGAGGTGATCTCTCAGCTCCCTGAGGCTGGAAATGGGCCCAAGTGCAAGAAAGAAAGGGAGGCAGTGGTGAGCCTTTCAGGCTGTTTTTTGTTTCCTCCAAGCAGATCACATTACTTCTCCCAAATTCCTGTTTGACAGATGTACCGTAGCACCATGAACTGGCACTTGTTCTACAATGGTCGTGTGGAGAGCCCAGAACCAGCTCAGCTAGGAATAATGGGTTGAACAGGAGAAAAAAGGGGGAATTCACAGGAAGCTCAACATGGACATATTTCTGAACAATGAGGAGATGCTTCTACAGCCAAGTCTCAAGGGAGGCTTTCCATCTCACCTTTATGATAAATTCTTTCTTTTCCAGCTCTTCCAAAAATTTCTTCCTCTTAACAGCCTTCTCACTGCCCAGCTTGTGGTTGTCACACACTAGGACAAAATCCCATGTCACCTTGTTCTGGTCAAAGAAAACAGCCAAGTGAAATCCATTAGTGGTAACTTTGTGAGGGCTACCTTGATAGCTTCATCCTTGTGTTAAGGGGATGGATCCATCTCACTGGGCCCAACTGGTGGCCCCTAAGCATTCTCTCAGTGGCAGAAAGAAGTGAAGGAGCATCCTCTTTGTGGTTTTGGGGGGAGACTCCCAATGTGGCTGGGAGCACTGGTCACTCTCATCATCAGGTTGGACACTTGGAACTTCCTTCCAGTAGGACTTAAGGGGATGCCTGAGGCCTTTCACAATCCCAGTAGATGAAAAAATGAGAAACTGGGTAAATGTTCCCAATAGGGGAAATGCCTTACTATACTTAGTGCTGGTCACAGGGGATGACTTGGTGGGGGATCTGCAGGTATAAGGTAACCTAGGGCAGTGCTTCTCAAAGTGGTGGTCCACGGACCGGCACCGGTCCACGAGCCACCGGTTGCCAGTCCACAGTGAGTTGCCAGGAAAGAAAGAAATATATTTTCAGAAGCATAACATTGATATGTCATAGCGCCACAGTACGTATGTTCCAACATTCAAGGTGACGTCATGTCGTGCAAGGTGAGGAAAAAGAAAGAAACAGCTGGTCGTGCATTTGTGTAGCACTGTTACACGCAGTTGTTGCCACCGGCTGAACCAGGCACTGGTCCCTGGTCCACTAGAAAAAAAAATTGCCGGTCCGCCACATCAGATAGTTTGAGAAGCACTGACCTAGGGGACAGTGACCACCTATTGATAGAGTGCACTATCCAGCAAAAGGTGGGGAAGATAACTAGTAGGGCTGAAGTGCTAGACTTCAGGAAGGCCAACTTCAACAAGCTCAGGAGATCAGTTAGGGAGGAACTGATGGGCAAAAGCATCAGAGAGATGGGAATCCAGGAGGGGTGGGTGTTTCTCACGGGACTGATCCTGCAGGCACAGAAAGGGACCATCCCAGTACGCATAAAGGGGGGCAAAAGAGCAAAGAAACCCTCTTGGTTGAGCAGGGAAATCCAGGAGAGCCTGGAGGTGAAAAGAGAGGCTTACAGGCTGTGGAGGCAAGGGGCAGCCACTAAAGAGGAGTATACCTGCTTGGCTTGAGCTTGCAGGGAAGCAGTGGGGAGAGCCAAAGCAGAATGGAGCTTAGGCTGCCAGCAAAAGTTAAGGATAACAAAAAGTAATTCTTTAAATACATAGGAAGTGAAAAGAAAGCGCAGGGTAACATAGGGCCCCTTCAAGATGGACTAGGGCAACTGGTAACAGATAGGATGGCCAAAGCAGAGCTCCTAAATGATTTCTTTGCATCTGTGTTCCTTGACACGGATACAAACATACATCCCAGTGGGACTCTAGGTAAGTGCGAGATAGGTACCAACCCACCAACTGTTAACGCAGACCTAGTAAAGGGGCACTTGGAAGGGTTTGATGTATTTAAGTCAACAGGCCCTGATGATCTTCATCCTAGGGTACTTAAGGAATTAGCTGGAGTCATAGTGGAACCACTGACACAACTATTTGAACACTTGTGGCACTCAGGACAGGTCCTGGAGGACTGGAAAAGGGCCAATGTGGTCCCTATTTTCAAGAAGGGGAGGAAGGAGGAACCAGGTATCTATAGGCTAATTAGCCCCACCTCTATCCTTGGCAACACCTTTGGGAAAATTGTTAAAGATCACATTTGTGGGGGATCAGCAGGTAAAATAATGCTAAGGGGCAACCAGCATGGGTTCATAGCAGGCAGGTCCTGCCTGACTAACCTGTTTGGTTTTTTTTTATGAGGGGGTCACAAAATGCTTGGACAAAGGAATAGAGGTAGATGTTATTTACTTAGATTTTAAAAAGGCCTTTGACACAGTGTCACATCCAATTTTTATAAATAAACTAAACAGTTGCAATGTAGATTATTACACAGTCTGGTGGGTGGAAAATTGGCTTACGGGACACACCTAGAGAGTGGTGGTGGATGGGTTGGTTTCTACTTGGAGAAAAGTGGGCAGTGGATTCCCTCAAGGCTCTGTCCTGGGACCAGCACTAATAAATATCTTCATTAGTAACTTGGACGAGGGAGTAGAAAGCACCCTGTCCAAGTTTGCTGATAATACCAAACTATGGGGGAAGGTAAACAAACTTGATGTCAGGGAGCGAATCCAGACGGATTTGGACAGGCTGGCGAGGTGGGGAAGTGCGTATAACAGAATAGGATGCAGCTGAACAAAGATAAGTGCTATGTGTTGCACATAGGGAGGAAGAACCATCAACACTCCTATAGCCTGGGAGGTACCATACTGAGTAGCACAACTGCGGAAAATGTTCTCGGAGTCGTAGTTGACTCCAAATGAACATGAGTCACCAATGTAATAAGTAAAGCTAACAGCACTCTTTCTTGCATAAGTAGGTGCATCACAAACAGGTCTAGGGAGGGGATACTTTCCCTCTATGCGACATTGGTCAGGTGTCCAGTTTTGGGCACCGCACTTCAGGGGGAATGTAGATAACTTGGAAAGTGTTCAGAGGAAGGCCACCCATCTGATTAAAGGCCTACAGGAAAAACCCTACGAGGACCGATTGAGGGACCTGAATCTCTACAGCCTCCACAAGAGAAGGCTGAGAGGTGATTTTGTGGCTCTCTACAAACTCATTGGGGTGCGGGGGGAAACAGCAGGAAATAGAGGATACTCTGTTTACCAGATGCCCATCGGGGTAACTAGAAACAATGGCCACAAACTGAAGGAGAGCAAATTTAGACTGGACATCAGGAAAAAATTCTTCACCGTGAGGGTTTCCAAAATATGGAATATGCTTCCAAGGGAGGTGGTGCTGTCCCCTTCCTTGGAGGTATTTAACAGGAGATTGGACAAACACCTAGCTGGGTCATCTGGCCCCAGCACCCTTTCCTGCACAGGGCAGGGGGTGAGACTCGATGATCTAATAGGTCCCTTCTGACCCTAAAATCTATAAAATCTATTAACTGGATCAGACCCTGGTTCTGCATTTTGATGTCACACAGGGCTGTGGTGATCACACTTTGAATGCTCCACCAGAATTAATGTAACTTACTGGGACCAAGACCTCAAATTCTTCTACAGGAAATTCTCTCCAGGGAGTCAACATAATTTCATCCTGTGGAGAAAGGGAAAGAATTAAAAAAGGAATGGATTGGAGTTCTCCCAATCATAGCATGGTCATGTTTTCCCAGTGTCCTAAACTAAACTCTGGGAAAGGAAGAAAATACCTATTATTACACTGCCCCAAGGTCTCCTGGACCAGAACCTGATTGGAGTAAGGAGAGAACACCTGGGGTGAACAGTTACTCAGGACTCTGTTCCAGACTAAGTTTACAGGAGAGCAACCCTTACAGGAGAGTTACCCTTACTAATAACTACAGATGTAATGGTATCCTGCAGAGTTACAGTCTGTCATCTCACAGGACAGCAGACCAGAGTTTCTGCCTAACGATAACATTGAGTAATAGCTTAGAATAGAAAGTGAAAATGAATAAATGCCTCTAAACTAAACCACAAAGATCTCTGATGGAAAGTGTTTCGGGGCATGTATAGAAGGTACCCGCAGGAAATGTCTGAGACAGCCATGGAACCTGAAGAGGACAAACTAGGATTTCAGACTTGCATTCCCAGAGCTAAGAGCTGAGCACACAGGGTAAAATTTAACTGCACAGGAAGAAAGCAAAAGGGAGGAAAGAAGTATGTGGAAATGTCATTGTTTGCTTCTCTTTTCCTTTTGGATTATCTGGGGTGGGGAAAAGGTGAGCAAAGGGTACAGGCAGGTAGTGGTTATTGATTATTCAGCCAGGCAGAGAGGCATTAAGATTCTGCTTTGTGTGTGTATTATCAAATGATTAACCACACACCTTAAAGTTCAAAACCACCTGTGTCAGAAAAGGCATGAACATAACTGCTGGATCTGTTCCCCGTGTACATTGCATTCATACCTACTGATTATGGTTGTTAGTACTTTTTGGTCCTGTTAGTCCTGCAAGGCCAACATTGTTGAGATTTGGTTTGGTTTCTGTTTGTGCATCATCAGGACAGTTGCTTGCTGTACTCCACATGTATAAACCCCTTGAATAATAATGGCACCGTGCAGATTATCTTCGAGGGCACAATGTGAAGACAAGTGGGTTGTGTGGGTGCAAATGAGAATATCACTGGTCTTAAAGAATTGGTGTTAACTGGTCTGCAGATTTTTTAATGATGATGGTGCTAGGAAGCACTGGGATAAGGGACTTGAGCCGAGCTGTGGGAGCAGGGTGGCCCTGAATCCAAACCCTAGGCCTCTGCTAATGACTTATTGGACATGTCTATCCTGTTTCTTTCCCAGAGAGCACCACTCTCAATCATGCCCTACATGATTACTAGGGGTGTATGAAGCTGCCCCTAGTCATTTCCGATTCGGATTTGGCCTGAATCAGGGACAGTGATTTGATTAGTTGATTTGGATCACTGTCCCTGATCTCATTCAGCCGAATCCGAACATAAAGATTTGATGCTGATTCAGAGTCCACTTCCAGTCCACTTTCGGGTCTGCCAGGGAGCGCACGCCCCCCCGCGCAACCCTCTGGCTCAGCAATCGGCCGCTGGGGGACCCCGGGTGCCTCCCCAGATCCAGGAGGCACCAGTCGCCAAGCCAGGGTGGCACAGGAGGGCCCCCAATGCACTCCCCGGCGGATCCGGAAGTGGACCAGAAATGCTTCTGGTCCACTTCGGGGTTCACCACAGAGTGTGCTGAGGAGCCCCCCGCACTTCTGTGGGACACTTCATGCGCCCCAGCATTGCAGCACTCATGAGCCACCTGGTACCTAGAGTTATGTCGAAAAACATTTAAAGCTGTGTCTGTGTCCAAATCACTGAATCCTTCTGATTCAATTCAGAGAGATTAAAGGGTCCTCTGATTAGATTCAGGTTTGGAGATTTGGCCACCAAATTGTGCTGAATCTCTGCCAGATCGAATCAGGGACCGAAACTTCTCACAGCCCTAATGATTACTTCCTATTACAGGTGCCAACCTTGGAAAGGAGGGAATGAAGGTGCCCTGGTGCTGCCCCTGGCACCACTCTCAAATATGGGGGAGGTGGAGACTTTGAGAGTGGCAGCAGAAGGTAACCACAGAAATGCTTCACTGCCTTATTTATGCATTTATTTACTTATAGGTGTGTGCAAGCAGAAGCAGGTGTGCTGTGTGCTGGGTGCACTTGAGGACAACATTTCCTGAGAACATGAGGGATGTAGCATAGATATACCCATTTTCTCCCCACCTTGATTAAGTCCAAGATACAGAGATAATATTATTTACACACCTCACAGCAAGGTTAGGAAGGTGGGTTAGTTAATGATTGCCCAGAGATATCAAAATGTAAAGCATTATATGGATGCTAAATATTATCATGTGTTGTTGTATACACAAAGGAAAGAAGCCTTTTGGGAGATTGTTTCACTGCAGTATGGCCAGTTGTACAAATGGACTCTGTCTCATGGACACTTCGTATTTGTAATGCTCACTCAGGCTGAAAGCGTGTGGCCGCTCCTTATCTATGTGGAGCATACAGCCTACTCCAGAGACTTCCAGCTGACAGTATAACAATTAGTATGCACATTTATAAGTTGTTCATGACACATGCTCCTCTTGTTCCTCCTGGCCTGATATATTTGTGATTCTATGAGGCAAGAAAAGAGATAGCCATAACATACTAATGAAAAATCTTTGAATCTACACAAGATGATTTACTGTGAAGTAGCATAGTTTACTGTGCAGTAAGCATGTGCATCTACATGTGCACATGCTTACTGCATGGTAAACCTTGCTAAGTGCAAGTAAATTTGCTACCTGAAAATGCAAGTAGCAAATTTAGTTGTGATTACTAACTGTGCAGTAGTGCTCGTATAGATGCCTGACCAGAAGCAAATCTGCTCCCGGTCAGCCGGCCACCAGGGAGCCAGAAGCTGCTTGCTGCCAGGGTGGGATCTGCCACCAGAGCAGGGGCGGGCAATTATTTTGGACAGAGGGTCGCTTACTGAGTTTTGGCAAGCCATAGAGGGCCGCATGACAGGCAGCCCACAGCAGATTAATATAAATTTTCTAAATTTTTTAGGGGCCCCGCAGGCTGGATAGAATGGCCTGGCGGGCTGCATGAAGCCCCCGGGCTGCATTTTGCCCACCCCTGCACCAGAGCCTAGGCAGGGCTATGTCCCACTGCCCCAGCAGCAGAGAACTCCAAGCCCCCTGCTCTGAGATGGCAATCAGGGAATGGGAGCTGGGAAATCCTTATCTCCCAGCACCAGCTCCATGACTGGCACTGAGAGAGAAGGATCTCCCAGCACTGGCCCTGTTGTTGTGGAGCTGGTGCTGGGAACTCCCTGCTGGTGGGGGTCGGGGAACCTGTTCCCCACCCAGCTCCACGATCATGGAGCTGAACAGGGAACAAGCTCTACAGCCTCTCCCCCACCCACATCTGCAATTGCTGAGCTGAGCAGGGAACAGGCTCTCCAGGCCCAACCCTACAGTCAGGGGCAGGTCCCATCCCTGCACCCTGATTGGGTGACTGAGGCCTTCCTACTAGCTGCTCCACTGGCAGATTAGGGCAGGGAGCTGGGACCCGTCCCACCCCTGCGGCTATTTCCAAGTCCTCTGCCCTAATCAGGGAGTTGGGGCTAGAAGCTCCCTGCTACTGGGGCAGGGGGACATTGTCTCCACCCTGGCAGCAGGCAGTCCCCCTGGGGCAGGGAGCAACTCCCAGCCCTGGACAGCAGACAGCTGTCTCCCCCTGGTGAGTGGTAGAGATCCCCCTTATGATGACAGGCCCTTTGCAGGGCCCCAGGAAGTGCAAGCAGTTTGCTGCCATTAGCAGCAACTCCTAGGGGCAGGCTTGACTCCTAGAGTCAAGTATTGCAATAGGCTGCCTCAATCCCCACAAATTGTCAAGAGCACATTTAGACAGACACTTGCTTGCAAGAGTTTAGTCAAGGGCAATCCTTCCTTGTGTTGGATGCTGAAGTATACAATGATATGAGCCTGGATAGCTCAGTTGGTAGAGCATCAGACTTTTAGTCTGAGGGTCCAGGGTTCAAGTCCCTGTTCAGGTGGTAACTTGCTGCTTTTTCTTCATGATAAGGTTGGCCAAAGTCTGGAATGGTCTTCCAAGGCAGTGGTGCTGTCCCCTACCTTGGGGGTCTTTAAGAGAAGGCTGGATAGGCATCTGGCTGGGGTCATCTGACCCCGGCGCTCTTCTCTGCCTAGGCAGGGGTCAGACTCAATGATCTGTTGAAGTCCCTTCCGACCCTAACATCTATGAATCTACGACTTCACGAGAACCCTCCCATCCTTACTTTCCTATAGGCCTGTGCGAGTCGGCAGCGATCTGATCCGGCTTTGGATCCGGACGCTTCAGATGGCCACAATCCTATCCAGAGCTCCAGACCAAGTTTCCATCTCAATCCGGCCAAAGCGGCTCCAAAGTTTCGGGGCTGCCTCAGAGATCCAGCCATAGGTTATAATGGGGAATCAATGAAATATCTATAATTTTGTTGGTTTTTGCCCAATTTGGATGAAACATGCAGGGATAGTAGCCTCTGCTGAGAGCACAAAATGTGCCAAGTTTCAAGAAGATCAGTGCAGGGGTTTGGCGGAACTGTACCCCAAATTCCTGAAAACAAAACTCCTGTCACGTCTATGTGTTACACCACAGGGGGGTCAGAACTGCAGGGCTGGTAGCTCTTACTGAGGACACAAAGCCTGCCAAGTTTCAAGAAGATCAGTGCAGGGGTTTGGGTGGAACTGCACCTCAAGCTGTGGACAAGCAAAACTCGTGCCAAGAGTGACACTGCATGCGTTAAGGCGCAGCGGGGTGACAGCTGCAGGGATGGTGGCCCCTGCTGAGGCCATGACATCTGCCAGCTGTCGAGGAGATCGGTGCAGGGGGGTTCTGGGGCCCTGCACCCCTAGCTGCTGACGGACGAAACTTGTGCCATGGTGCTTGTGGGACTGACTGTGTCTGTCTTGGGGCAGTTGATTGTATTGATTCTGTCCTCTCCTTTGCCTGGTTTTGTAGGTGCTAATTGATGGTAATTAACTGGCTACATTAGCTAGGTCCTGTGTATTGAGCTGGT